GAGCATTATATATTTTTCTCTCTATAAATGCACTCTCTCTATAAGTGCACGTTTTGCTTTTTTTTGATTATGGTCCCAAGGGGATGCACTTAGAGAGGTCTTACTGTAAATTATTAACAAAAGAAATGAGTTATAAGGCAGTATCAGCATTACCAGTAACAGATTTATCTGACGGATTACGATTTGCTTGCCAAATAATTTATTGTTCGACAGAGATGATAGTTAAAGGCAGTTAGTAGTTTTATTATTTTGCAGACAAATAATTGTAAGCTGCCAGATAAATAGTACTTATCTATGCCTTTCTTTTTATTCAGGTATCGTCAAGAGAAAACTACACCACAGTAAATTATAAATTTAAAAGTGTTTTTTTCTTCCCTGGAAGCACCATAGTAATAGGAATTTCAAATTAAAATGTCTAAAATTGACTAGAAATAAACCTGTAAGCATCAGCACTCAATTTTTTAATAAGCATATTTTTTCAAACTTGGCAAATAGTAAAAAAAAAATAGTTTTATAAAACTACATATTAAATAAAATTATAAATTATAGAAAACTCTTACATGAAGCTTCATTAAACTAAAGAGAGATTTTAGCCAAGAACTTAGTAGTGCGTAGTAAACAATAACGATTAATAAAGTTCTACCAATTTTTTCTCGATCTTATCGTTATTTTTTTGAAAAAAAATCGTGTTCATTCAACTTCATTAAACATATAATGCATGTTTACATAATCATACATACTATATACCTATATATATATTGTACTATATAGTTTATAACAACCATACGTATTTATTTACAGCTCTAATAAGTAGGGTTCCATATTTTAAAAATAGTATATATTTTACCTTTTTTACATGTTTTCTGAGGTAAAGTTGACTAATGCGACATAATATATTGTATCATTTTGAAAATTTTTCAAATTTTTTATTATTTGATTTTTGAATAGATATGCATTTAATAAAAAGCCTGTAATAGTTACAAAAGCTAATTATAATAAAAATTTCACCAAATTAACTTTAAATAAGAAATTTGATCTTCAAATCGTAGCTACACAACAAGGGTCCTTATTTCATAAAACTTAAAAATTTACAATGAAATATATTCAAAGTTTATTATAGTGCATTTTAAATTTTGAATTTGCCTTTACTTAAATCAAATATCAAATAGCCTTAAAGAAGAAAATATTGTTTAGATATTGATGATGTTCTGAGTCATGATTGTTATTTTGACACCCTGTATTACAATTATGTAAAAAATGTGTTCTTCGGATTCCATCCACACTTGTTAAAGGAAAAATTCTGCGACATAAAGTACCTTGACGAAAGATGAATATCGAGCAATCTAATTTTATGTGTTTTCTCGATATATCCTCGAACCAATCAACATAAACAAACAGATAATAACGGTCGCCATTGCTCTTTTGCTTAAAGATAGCTTTAATCATTGAATAACTTTCATCATGATCATTCACTCGAATTGCCACAACATTATTTATATGCAAATGGCATTTAACTTCAGCATAACCATCATTTTGTATATAAGATGTGCTTTTATAAAAACTATAAGACTGGTTAAGTAATGATGCATTATATCCAAAATCTTGATAAGCAAGAGCCAAACCAGAACAAAATAAAGCTGCATCAGTTCTAATTGTTTGCTTATAGGAAATTATTGGTTTTTTCAACTTTATATTGTGAATATGGCTTGATTGGGAGCATACTACCATATTAAAGAATATTATATAAATCATTAATAATATATTATAATTACAATAAATAATTAATACTGTATAATAATAAGTAATATTACTATCTGATCCTTCATTATCTTCATCTAATGAATATTCTGCAATAAACCAATCCTTAAATAAGCGCTTAGAATCTTGAAATATATTAACAAAATCACTAGATCGTAAATATCGAGGGTCAAGTCCACCGTCTACTAAATGCTGAATGGATTGAAGTGTCGTATAACGTTTTAATAAATCCAATTCAACCTTCTTGCGATTGGTACGTGGAACTATATTTTTAAAAATATGATGAATCATCTCCTTGGTTCCCACTTCGGTATTCACCAGGGTTCTGAATGTTCTTGCATGCCGAGGTAAATGGTAATAGGCGTGAAGATTAGGAAGGCCCACAAAGTCAGAAAATAACTATGTTTAATCTAACTTAGTAATTTTAATCTCATTGTATTTATTCACCATGGGTGTCCTACCCAAAACAATCGTTCAATGTGTACTTGATAATTATTTACTAATATAACCTAAATTTCTTAGAACTGGCCAATCAAATAGTAAAATAGTGAAACCAATATATATATATACACTGTATATACTAATATGTATATATGTACACTGTATATATACTAATATATATATATATACAGTACAGATTAATTGCTTCATTAATGTAAATCATGTGATTGAAATAAATACGTACGTACGTACGCTTTAGATATTATCCCAAAGAGGAAAATAAAACCTGGATAATAACATAAGTCTTCATATATAATAAAATATGGCCTCCAAACTACTGTAGAATACGCATAGTAAATAAGTATGATAAATGTCATCGTAGGCTTACCGTTGTCAAGACTTGTCTTTCTTCTTTTAGAACCTTTTTAAGATCTTTATAGTCACTGTTTGATAATGGAAACTTAAATGCTAATCGAGTGCATTTAGCCACAATTGACTAGCATCTAATGATTGTATTAACTACCTGATTGCGTTGTAAATTTGTTTACCTTTGTAATTTGGTTAACTCGATTGGTTTCAAACAATTTGCAGTCAATGATCTGTTTAATATAAACGGCATTACCATTCCCAGCCTAAGACTATCTGACATCATAAAACTTTCAATATGACTTATTGGGTTTGGAAGTTTTGACCATTGGCGAGGATATTCAAATGATTTCCAAAGCCTGAGAAATCTTTGTTCACCATCTGATGATAATATTGCAACAGTTAATTTAAGAAGTTTTAATGTTTTTCCCGCCATTATATGATAAATGTTCTGTGGTAACTGGAGATGTCATTCACGTTGAAGTTCATCAAGTATTGGAAAATATTTTTGTAGACCGTATTCTTTAGAAATGTTATTTTGCTGTGTAATTGTTGGAGCTGCGAAAATGTCATCAAAAAGGGTATTGGTGATGTGGTGATAACGAGAAATGTTAGCAATATCCAAGTTTTCATCTGTTGCGTTTTCTCTTAAAACTAAACATGTCCTACACCCTTTTGTCGCACCATGATGTTTTACTTCTACTAGATCATTGCCCTGGAGGAGATCTGATGTAGTACATTCAAGACTGGCAATAACCCAATAATCACTTCTTTGAACATTTATTAGTGTTCCTCTTTCTAATCGCTTCATATCTAAGACAAACGGACGAATGAAATCATTGAAATTCCCACCAAAAGGGACAAACCCTAAGACAAAGTGATTATGTAAATGCTTCCTAACATCGAATAGCATATTACCTAGTTGTATGTATACACCACCTAAGGAATGGTAAACATTCTAATATGTGCCAAAGTCATCGTAGTAAATGTCAATAAATAACTTTAAAACTTGAAGATAGCTATACTGTGGTGGTGGTACAATTAAAGTGGTATATTCACATAGATGCATATAATCTAGATTTATGTTCCATAATTTCCAATAGCCATTGGTTTTGTACAAAATTTCTTTAACATAAAGACCAACAATAATACTTGAAGTGCGAATTATTGAGATGTTAGTCTTTTTAATAATTTTATTTGTTTCAACAATAATGCTTCCTTCCTCCAAATATTGGTCTACTAACCACAATTGTGATTTCCTTGTAACAAAACGTGCTTTACTATGAAATTTAGCTGGTAATTCATTATATTCGTAGATCTGTTGAATTTTTATATAAAGTTCATTATTAATAGAAATTATTGAACGTAATCGTCTAAATCTTCGCTTATCATCTTCTTCATATATAATAAATTCTCCCAGATGATAATGTTCTGTCGTTGTAATTAAGTTCATATAAAAAAAAAATTACACTAGTAAGAATAACGCAAAGCAATTATTTTATTACCACGCATAGTTAGTCTAGTAGTAGTAACTCTGACATGACGAGTGAATTAGTGATAGCGCAAAAAATAGGCAGTCCCGTGATTTTTATCCAATCTGATTGTAAGATTAGTGTATAATATGAATGCGAAATAAAATTTAAGGCCAAAAAAATCAAGAAATCATAAATAACTCATAAATTCGCAAGGGAAATTAGCTTTTATTATTAAATAAAAGTTTTTAACACAAAAATTAGATATGTTCTTTCTACTTTGAATTAATGCAAGCATTAATTTTTAGACGAAAATTAACGTTAAGATATTGTTTTTTAATTAGTCACGGGACTGTCAAATTTTTGTGCCATCAATATTTCACTCAACGGGGTTATGTTTATAATAAATAAAATAAATACCTCGGTTAATAATTATTTTATCTTGGCTGAGTAATGGTGCCTCGGCCCAAAGATCTCTGTGCCAATATTCCTTTTTTTGTTCAACTTTGATTTCTGGTCCAAAGTATAATGTATTATATAGTGATGGATTATTCAGTATATTCCAAATTATATTGCAAATAGAAAGATAATAACAAGGCTTCATTTCTTTAGCAGTTGATGAAGTTTTTTTTTCATTAATGTTTACATAACGTGTTCTTATTGGCATTAACGGTAATCGATTTCTCCATTGCCGAAATCTTCGTATATTCTTTACAATATCACCAACATTGAAAGCTGGATTTTGTAATACATCTACAAGGTCATTATATGCGCTTGTTGCTATAAATAAATTATTACCTGTTAGTTTTTAAAATTATATAATTTGTTGTATTAAATAAACTTACAAATATTATGCTTCTGTATCTAGCAAAATAGTAACGCAGAGGTCGGATTCTCAAAGTATGATGCACTTCCATTTGTATTCAATATTTGGTTTATATCCATCGATGCGTCAACGATCTGATCTTCATCTGTAACATTATCGCTATTACTGTCACTATTGTCATCCTCCTCCTCCACTACAAAGTCTTCTTCTATATATTCTATTTTGCTTTGCATTTCCATTTCGTCTTGCATTTCCATTTCGTCCTGCATTTCCATTTCATCCTGCGTTTCTACTTCGTCTTGCGTTTCCATTTCCTTTTCCGTCTCCATTTCTATTTCATCTTCTGTTTCCATTTCCATTTCATCTTCTTTTTCTATTTCATCTTGCGTTTCCGTTTCATCTTGTAGCTCAATTTCGTCTTGCAGATCAATCATATCTTGTGGTTCCATTTTATCTTCCTCATAACTTATACTTGATTCTATATATATTAATATAAGATGCAGAATAAATAGAATGTAAGCTTTCGTGATACAGACCAACAAGTTGGTAGATATAGGTATTAGGGCAGTTATGGGTATTGTTGTAATTAAACAATATTTAGAATTAATATCATTTAATCTACCCAATACTCATAGCTGCCCTAATACCCATATCTGCCTTATATATTAAATATTCCTGTTACCTAATTTCAATAATCCAAAACGTTTAAATTTTAGAAGCACATTGCGATTAGAAAAATTTGCGTTTTGGCGCAAAGATAATAATTTAGTCGATGGAACACGATCTTTACGACTTTTGCGCATTTTTGAAATTAATTAAAATATATATTATAGAAATGTGATGTTACAAAACTAAAAGCCTTGCATGAAATTATTCAGAACAATGGTTGAAAAGATGAGTTTGGTTCAATGAGAATTTTTTAATACTGTTTCAATTAGCAGAGGATAACTCTGACTCTTCCAAGTCTAATTCTATAAACTATAACCTCTAATATTAAATGACGTCTAATTCTATAGACTATCCCTTACATCGTCAATTTAACTATATATTCACTATAATTTAGACTACAATTCAATATAATTTGATAGCTTAATCACAGATTAATCATGGAATTTCCAGACAATTTGCCTACAAGACGGTGTAAGGGATAACCTTTAATAATAATGCCGTTTAGCTTTTAATTAGTATTCATATAATTGGGGATCGTTGTAGTATTTTATGTATATCACAGGAATTTAATTTATAAATTAATTAGTCGCTTGCTACAAGACTTTAGAGCAGTGTTGTTAAACGACTTGTTCATTTGTAATTGTCACACCCTTTTTACTATATTGTTTATTGTTCAATGTGATAAATAGCATAATAAAAAGATGTAACAATTACCAATGAATATGTCCATTTAACAACACTGCTTTAGGGTATTTAAAAAAATGATGTAATGAATTTATGCAAGGGTTTTTTGCATAAAATTATTTCCAGATTTGCCTTGATGCATTAATTATATATGTGATCATACCGGTAGTATGCATAATATGACATATATAGTAAATTAAATATCATACGTAAAAGCGATCTCTCTTGAATAAATAATTTAAGAATTTAAAAATTCAATTAAATAAAACACAAAAAGGGAAATTAATAACTATTTACATTTTCTTGAATAAATAATTTAAGAATTTAAAAATTTAATTAAAGTAAGTAAAACACCAAAAGGAAAATTAATAAGTATTATTTGTGTTAAATGTGGTTACAGATTAGATAATTGTCATATTAAGTTATAGTGTTAATTAGGTTACGGCCTATTTTTGTTTTCATAAAATTATAAAATCTTTTAGATGTTTCTAAACCATCACGTTTTTTTTTTAAATATTAAGCTGAAATGGTAAAAACAAAAAGACCAATAGCCAAAGAAACTAATGAGACTGAAGAAACAAACTGAATAGGAAAAGTTCAAAGTAAGTATTAATTGCTAAAACTTGTTGATTATAATATAAAAGTTAGAGTTTGCATCATATTAAAAAAATCTTACTATATTTAATTAGGAGGATGTGAAAGAGGAAGTCGTAAAAGTGGGAATCATGGAAGAGTGAATTGTAGAAAAGGAAACTGTGATAGAGGGAACCCCAGAAGAGAGACAAGTCATGATGAAAGTCAATGTGATGAAGAACATGAGACAAGTGCCGAACCTTCTACTCAAAATATTGAGCCCAATAATTCAGACTCAAATTATGAACCAGATATTGGTAAAGAAAAATAATTAATTTCAAGGTTTTTAACAAATTTCCTATACAAACAACTTAAGTATATTGAATATTATTCTAACAGCTTCAAAAACTACAAGTCACTCAAGTCATAACTTAACAGTATCAAGGGCCCTAGGTTATTGAATTATTTTATTTTATTTGCAATTAAAAAGCTATAATAAATAAAAAAAATAACCATTAAATTTATCTTTGATTTTAATTCTTCTAATAATTAGAAAGATTTGCAACACCAATAATGCTAATTTATGAAAGTATGGCAGATTCTGAATATCCCAACATCACGACTGTGGGATCACCTGTTAATAGTTGAAGTGAAAGTAGTCACTGATTAGAAAGTAGAGTGACAGTTTCAGATTTGCTTCAAATGTCTGATAGTGACAACAGTAATGATGGCATTGATATTTTTTATCTTCAATATTAATCTATAATAACCCTATTGTTTTACTACTTAATTATGAAATCATTTAGATTATTATCAAAAGAATTATGAAAAACTGTCAAAAGCCAAGAAACAGCAAAAAAATGATGATAATGAAGATGAAGGCGATAATGAGGCTAGTCAATCTCTTAGAAACAGAACAGGTAAATTGAAGAGCAAATTATATACTTTCAATTATTATCATTTATTAAATGATTTTTTTTATGAATATCAGGAAAGCCTGATGCCCTAAAAGACATGACAAACCTTTTTGAAGTTTGTCAATAGCTAGTTTTAGAAAGGCTGGATATATTAGTAACAGCTAATCAAATGCGCAATGCCATGCAAACATCTTTAGATTCGTCTACTGTTATGATATCTTAGTCAGAAGTAACAATAGCATCAAGGAATATTACTGATGATAAAGTATTATATTTCTTTGTTAATTTTTTTTTTCATATAACTTAAAATTAAACATTGTAAATTTATCATTATAGGGTCTTGCTCGGCTCTGGTATAAAGAAATAAAATGTCTTTTTCTTAGATGTAGAGACCTCTCAGCCAGAGCCATTAAAAGCCTTATTACCAAAATATTCAAATACAAGCTCTATAGTAATGAAGCTGCAGAAATTATTTGTCATTCGAAGTGAGTGTACATAGATTTTCATAGCAAATTCAATCAAAGAATAGCCATATTAGTAGTTGAGTTTAAGGAAAGACATCCAGGAGAACAAATATCAACACCATCGAGATCTGACATCAATGAATTTATTATTCAAAAAGTTGTTGAGCAAATATTAAAAAGGTATTTGAGTGTACTAATATGGATAAACTAACAAGATATAAAACCATGGACCAGCTTACTAAATTAATCAAAGAGGCATTCAAAATATTTTTTATCATTTATAATACTAAAGCAGTAAAGAGGCTTGACTATATTACAATAAGATGCAAAGTTCTGAGTAGATCTGGCAAAACATAGCATCAGGAATTTCTCTTACAAATAGTAGAAATAATAATCACCTAAAAAGTGCTTAGTATTTTCTTACAATACTTTAGCATTTACATTTATTTATTATATATTAGAGCTTGAATAATGATTGATTATATATATTGTTATATAGTTACGATAGTTACGATATATGAGATATATGATATGCAATGAAGGTTATATATAATAATAGTATACTTTAATTAAATAATGGTTTCTGATTATTAAGTATAATCAGAGATATGAATATATATAGTCTTATCAAAAATCTTATTGTCTAATTGTCTAATCATCTATTATATTTAATGTCTGTATCTAATTGTTTATTTAGTACTTATTTTAGCTAGATTATAATATCTAAAATTAATTAATCAGATTACTTTAAACAATATGGGCTGAGTGATATAGAAAAGTGTGAAATCAATAACTTCGAAAAATTAATTTTTATATTATAAATTTTAAAGAGCTGTACTGCAAAATTTATTAATGCAACTACTTTTGGTTTAAGTAAAAAATGACCTTAATCTTATTTTACATTAATTTATATAAAAAAAATTAATTTTAATAAATTTGTCAATTTCACCTTTCGATAGCACCTAGCCTAAATGGTTTGATTAGACATTATTAGACAATTAGACTGTTTATTGAGTCTATTTTTTTTTTTTTTTTTTTTCACTTAGGCCATCTTGCCTTTATTACTTTACGATTGTATGGTATTACAAAAGGCTTTCACATAATATTTAGGAGTGGCATCCCGCAGTTACTTCGAGAGCACTTACAAGCAATTGGCCGCACTGAGCAGATACATTCCTATAAATATATCGCGATAAGTTTCAAAATAAAAACACTATCTCTCTCAGACAAACACTATCAGACCACCGCCTTACAATAGGATATCACCAATCTGATGACATCTTCTCGTAGGGAAGTAGAAAGAAAAAAAAAATTTTTACTAACACTAACACTAATACTACAGTCAGGGATTTTACCAAAAATGGAAATCGATTCTGGAATGTTCTCTTGAGCGATGATTAGCTTACAATCATGCTTTTTGGCTAAAGTTTTTCACCTTTTCGTGATACTTAGTCGTAACTAATACTATATACACAATAGAATAGAGAACCCGTAGTTTTAGAATCAATGAAAGATCAGCCAGGATCAACTCTTTTTAATAAACTAGATGAGACCTGAAAAAACCTTATGATTCTGCTTGAGTTAGCTTAGTTTCTATGTTTCTTTCTCTTTTTTTCTTAGATTAACGTTGAA